TCTTGGACCCGGCCCATCCATGTGTTACGCTCCGACTTGGATGTTTTTTGGCTGCTGGAGGGTTTCCTGTGCTCGCCCTACATTGCTGCTCAGGGAGGGAGCAGCTTCCAAAGCCGCCGGTTTTGAGGGCTGAAACGTTATCCCTGGTCCGGATCCGCGCCGAGCGACTTTGTGTCCGTCCATGAGCCCTTTCTGCTCCGTCGTGGTGTCCCCGCCGGCTTCCCGGGAAGCCTTTTCCACCCGCTGGCTCCTGCCCGGCTCTGCTTGGGCTGCAGGAGAAGCCCTCACGCACGTAGCGTTCCCAATCCCAGCGGGAAGAGCTCTGGGATGCGGGGCCGGCAGGCGTCCTGCTCCCGGGGAGCATCTGGAAGCTGTTAACGCTCCGGCTCGCGGCACATCCCGGCGCGGGGCGCTGGCTCCCTCCATCCCTGCCTCTTCCCAGCTGTTTTCCAGTCTCCTGGAATTCGCCTCCTCTTCAACCTCAAGCCCAGCCGCGTCCCTGGAGCTTCCTGCCGGCTCCGTCCTTGCTCCGGGACGGCGCTCACGGCCGATGCTCTGGCTGGTCTCCCCCGTGCTCCTTCCCTGCTCCCCTCTGCCCCGGTGCTCACACTCACATTCAGCCTCTCAGCCTCTGTGCTTGAATTCCTGAGCTCTCCACATCTCCGTGGCCGGATCCTTCCTCCAGACACGTGTCCCCCCCTTCCTCACCCAAATTCAGGGGCTTAATTCAGACCTCAGAGCAAAGATTTACTAACTGCTACACTCAGTGCAGAAAGCCAGGGCCCTGCAGACACCGTCCAGAGATGCTTGTTGCTCTCCTACACCTGGAGAAGCAGCTCAGGAAGTTGCCAGACAACACAAGGTTCTTAAAAGTTCTTAAAGTCTGGCCTGAATTCAGGCCTCAAAGAGCTGCCCCTGCTGCTTAGTGACATCTTGTCCCGACTTACTAGCCCTCTGCTTCTGCAGGTTCCTGGTGGAAGACAGAGTTTGCAGCTGCAGGTCAAACAACGGCAAAGGCCAAAGTGATCCAGATGTTCTGGACGGTCCTCTCTGCTCTCTCGGGATTTTCTCTTCCAGGGAAGACGCGAACGTCCCGTGGGGCCGCATGGGCAGCGCCGGCCGTCGCGCTCACGCACACCCAGGCAGACTAAAATACCAAACTGCGTTGGCATAAATAGCCTCGATGGGGTAAATGACTCAGCGGGAAGCGAGCCAGGAGTTCCGTGGAGCACAAGGGCCCTGCTCATGCTGGGGATTGGCGAGGATCCGAGAACTCCTGCGGGAGAGGTGGACGGGGCGACCGCCCGCTTGCTGCGCGCAGGGGGAAGCTGTAGCATGAGCATCTCCACGTGGGCAACGTTTCACTGAATCCCGGAATGGCTGAGGGTGGAAGGGGCCTCCAGGGATCACCCAGTGCAGCCCCTGCTCCAGCAGGGACACCCAGAGCACGGGGCACAGGGTGGCATCCAGGCGGGTTGGACATCTCCAGAGAAGGAGCCTCCACAGTCTCTCTGGGCAGCCTGTGCCAGGGCTCTGGCACCCTCACACCAAGGAAGTTCTTCCTCACATGGACATGGAGCTGCCTGGGCGCTCGCTCCATCTTGCCTCACACCACAGATGCTCCAGTCCCTTCAGCATCTTGGTGGCTCTGCGCTGGCCCCTCTCTGGCAGCTCCACGTCCCTCTGGTCCTGGGGAGTCCAGAGCTGCCCCCGATGCTCCAGGTGCCTCCCCAGGGCTGAGCAGAGGGGCAAGATCCCGTCCTTCCTCCTGCCCATGCCGACAGGGACCTTTCCTGTTTCCCTCATTATCCTTCACTTGTTTTTTAGGGCAGGCTCTGCTGTTGGGTTAGGCCACGGCATCGGCGCTGGGCGCAGCGAGCGCACGGTGTCGTCTTGCCCCTCGCACATGGGACTTGGCTCAAGGAGGCCAAAAGCAGCTGAGGGGGGAAAGGGGCTTGTTTTGCACCCGCACCAGCTTCCAGTGCAGGGGCAAAGGCCTGAAGTGAAGGGCTGAGACATGAGGACCTGGGTTTAGAGCAGCGTAGCCAGAGAGCTGGCACCAATCTCCCCTCAGGGCCTCCTTGAGCTCCCTTTGCATGAAAGCTACGGGGGGCTGAGCGGAGAATTTGGCTCTTGAGACCAAAGAGGAGGATTCTGCACCCAAAATCCAGCGCCTGAAGCCAGCACAGCGGCGACCGGCCCTACCTGTTGGGCACAGCGCCCGCGACGAGGTGAACAGGAACAAGGCCAGGAGGCCGACGGGCTCCTCGGGCTCGAGGGCTGCGGAAATAAAAAGGTTTCGCTGAGGTGGAACCTCCGGCGCCGTTTCCACCGCGGACAGGAGGTGTCGTCCCACGTACTGGTTTCCACGTGGCCGCGTCTTACCGTCGTCTCGCGTCAAGGCAGCGGACGGGAGCAGGATAAGGACTCCTCGATCTTGTAAATATTTGACGATCGCCTAGAGCAAACACGTGCAGAGTTAGAACAACTTCTCCCTTCCGGCCCCAGGCAAACTCAGCAGGACTGATAACGGGCACTGATTGATGGCAGATATGCCCAGACAGCACCAGCTTGTGCCCTGCTGAGGAGGCCAATCTGGACTGGACTCCAATCTATGCCAGTTGGATCAACTGGGACCAGTAACCCAGATATGAGATTGTCCATTTACGCTGTTATTCAGCTCCCAAATTCCTCTCACTTGTTTCTGGAAAATATTTTGCCAAACCGGTTGCAGTTCATGAACGAGGATAATAATTTTAGTCCCTTCTGTTCAGAAGCTCCCAGGCATTTCGGCCAGGAATACAGCTCATCCCTGCAAGGGGAGGGTTTTTCCAGCAGGAAAAGCAAAGCTGGACACCAGCCTCTGAGAAAACACAACCAGTGGTGCCAGCCACGAGCCTGGCTGAAGTTTAGCCCATGCAGCTCCTTTATAACAGCAGCAATATCAACAAATATGTGGAAAAAAAACATTTGCTGAGTCTACGAAGGTCCCGTGGCTCCATCTCAAAGCTGAAAGCTAAAAGGACACGCATATTTTTCAGGGCTTTTCCTGTGTTTGGCTGTTTTCTGATGCCTCATCCCAGACCTTGGTGTGGGCCAGGGTGTCTTTCCTCATTCGGGGCTCCCTCCTCCATGCAGATGCCTCTTTCCAGGAGACTTGCAGCAATGGAATAAGTTTAGGGCTTCTAATGCTCCGTGAAACTTGGCTGATCCCACCTGACACATTCAGACACGACCGACCCCCACAGCCAGGAATGGAGCCAGTCTCCTCCTCCGGTGACAGCCAAACAACTCCGTAAATCCGGAACAACTCGAGTGCAACGTTCACTCTTCAGGACAGCAGCTCCCCAGCTCAGTTGTCTCAAGCCAGCACAGTAGAAGAGATAAAAGCCAAACCCTCCGCTGTGGAAATGCAGCCCAGTGAAATAGCAATGGCAGCAGGAAAATCAAACGGAGAGCGGAGGGAAGTCACCTCGCGCCCAGCGTGCCGCTGGATTCCGGCAGCTCCGGCACTTCCCAGGTTTCCTTTCACTTTCAGTCTGTGGTGTCCCGCCCAGGCATCCCTGGAAGTGAAAGGATATTCCCCTTCCAGGCACTTCTGGGGCTTCCATGGAAGCACATTCACCCACCGGGTACTGGGGTGTCACAGAGTGGGAGGAATCGCGCCGCTTCCTCGCTGAAACACGGGAGAGGTTTTCATGCAGCTCCATGTGTGTAGGAGGGTTGGGAAAACTCAGGGAAATGAGGCACCCACCGGCTTCCACAGCCAAACTGCTCGTGGCCATGACTCGACCCTCTCATCTTCCAGGGATTCTGGCTTGGTGGGATGCGGGACCGGAGCCTCCGCAGACTCCGAGGAGGAGCTGCATCCCGGGGGGCTGCCCAGCGCCGCCGCTTCCAGGCGGGATCGCAGCCAGTTCATCCTGCGGATCATCAGGAGCCGAGACCACCAGCAGGGAGCAGAAAGACCCCGGGGTGCTGGAAAAAACCTCCTCGGATAACGGAGGCAGTCCTTGGGATGAGGGGGGAAATGCCCCTCCTGAGCCAGGATAAATCCCAGTGTCTCAGATCCCAAAAAGCACTAGAGCTTTCAGCTGGGAGCATCTAGCTGAGTGGGTGCTATTTTTCAGCACTCAAGTGACAGCTTGTCCCTCTTGTTCAGAAATTATTTAGCATTGTGCTAAATAATTCTGGGGCTCGGCCTTTGCTTTCTTGGTAAATAAAATCCCTCGCAGCCCTTGCAAACTGTGCTGTTTGCAATGCAAATGTCACCAATAATGACAATTCAATACAAAAAATCTCCTCTGGCCTAAACAGAGGCACCAAAGAGGTTTGCTTGGTGTAAAGCTCAGGGCACCGTTTTTCTCACCTTAGATCAGTTCTTAGCTCACAGTGGGTGACCCTCAGCTAACAGTTTACATACAGAAAAATTAAACTATGCCTGTGAATAACAAAGAATAAAAATAATACTTAAAGCGGGGAAACTTGTGCCACTTAATGCCCAAAATCCGTGAATAACATTCCCAAAAGTTCAACAGGTTTTTTAAATATCTTTTAAAAAACAACTTTCCTCCTACGACAAATCAAGAATTTACAGCTCTTACCAAGTCCTTCTCCTTTAGGTTTTGTAATAATTCATCCATTTTATGTTGCTCCTTATTTGATATTTCCACTTCATACAGACTGAAGTAAATGCCTTGAAAACACACTGCAGGCAAAACAGAGAGAATCTGATGGTAAAAAAGAGCAAGTCTTAGACAAACCCTGAATGAACAAGAGCTCTCGTAAAAGGGAGATGAGAGTGCAAAGGGTGGAGAAAATGTGGGGTTTTTTTTTCCAAGAATTGTTATCAAAATCTCCCAAGCTGGTACATGAGTTCATATCACAGGAAATGTTTCCTATCTCGTGAGTGCTTGCAAAAGCAATTTAACTGATGCTGTGCTTCAGCAGAGACCAGGAGCTTTCCAGATGGAACTCATCCTCACACTCCAGGCAATCCCCTGCTATGGAGTATCCCTATTCCTCACGCTGATCCCCAAGGAGGTTTAGTGAACGCAGAGCTTGGACTCACCCCCTCCAGTGCCCCACAGCAAAATCCCTCTGTTCAGGGGTTTCCTCTCTCATCAGCCAACCATGAAACTTCCCCACATCAGCGATTTCTCTGGAGAGAAATCTCCTTCTCTGGAGATCTTCCAATCCACCTGGATGCCACCCTGTGCTCTGGGTGTCCCTGCTGGAGCAGGGCTTGGACTGGGTGATCCCTAGAGGTCCCTGCCACCCTCAGCCTTTCTGGGATTCCATGATTTCATTTTTTTGGAGTGCAAAATCCCTGCCTCTCCCCAAGCTCTCCCTGCTCCTCTCCCTCCGTCATCGGGGCTACCACCCCTCAGTGCAGAGCCAGGAGACACCAGGTCTGATCCCAAGAGATGGAACATCCCCTTTCCCGGCAGCAGGAGCCTCAGGGAAACCCACCTCCCTGCACAGCTTAAACACACTTGGCACCCTGAGGTCCTCTCCTGCAGCATCTCCCACCCATCCCATTGTAGGAACACTGGGACAGCCAAAGGGACATCCTGAGATGGTGCCACACCAGGGGATTTGACCGTGGACCAGAGAACATCCCAATCCTGCTCTGAGCTCCTTCCTACCTTGGATATCTACAACTATCCAAGCCAGGAGCTGGGGCTACCCGGGCTACTGGTCCCTGGTGCAAGCCCAGGCAGCTGTTACTCACCACAGTGGGGGATTTTATCCTCACCTTCATTCCCCACGTAGTTGCTTTTCCCAAAGGCAGCTTCTGGGATCTTTTTCTTCAAGTCGGATAAACCCATGACATGGGTCATGTCCAGGTTGGGGGGTCTGTGGGGAGAGGGCAATAGAGGATGAGATGGAAGTATAAGAGGCTCTTAGGGTACAGGGTAGCAGAGGCTACTCTAGCACTGTGAAACCAGAGACTACAGCTCTGGAGAAGGCCAGGGAAGTTCTTCACACATTGCCAATTTGCGGATCCTATTTGGAAACACTCCAAATCCTGGTATTGGCATCTATGTTACTGGCTGCCACTGGCTGTCTCAAACTGCCTTTGCTGGTTGGTTTCTGACTACTGAGGATTTAAAATCTTTATTTTTTTTTTTGGGGATAGTTACTTCAATATTTTATTTGCTGTTGTTGACTGTACCATCACTGCTCACAAGGAGCAGTGCTTGCAAGGAAGAAAAGCCCAAGCAGGAATAATTGATTTGGAATAAATATCCCCAAATAATACAGCAAAGTGATGGCAAAATACACCTGTTTGTTGCTGCAGCTCAGAGCCTGACCTGGCACAACTGCAAGGAAAGGATGGGGCAGGAGAGAGAAAGCTGGTAGGAAGAAATCCAGATCTTGGCAGCAGACCTACCTGCTAGGGGTGCAAAGGTGACCCCAAAATGCTCACCAAAAGCAGCTGTAATGCTTCATTCCCCCACAATGGCACAGAAAGGGGAGAAAGGGGCTACGTACAGCTGGGCTGGAATCGGGGAGCTGAGCGGGGTCCGCAGGGCGATGCTGCACAAGGGCTGGCCTCGGATGGAGAGCTGCCCCCGCCACGGGCAGTAAGATGCTACGGGCAAAAGGAAACAGAAAGCTCAGGGAAATGGGAGAGAAGGGGAAGGCAAACAGAGAAAGGCACATTTGTAAAGCAACACCAACCACCGGGTGCTCTTACCTTTGTGGTTAAGGTCAGGTCTAAAGAAAAGGGAGAAAAAGAGGGATATTTAGCAGTGGGAAAGGGAAACCAGCCCACAGGAGCGGCTGGGGATTTCGGAACAACAGCCAAATTACTTACAGGTGCTCTCTGGCTAAGAGGGGCATCCCCTCGGGCTCCTTGTACTGGCAGGCGATGACCATGTAGGGGCAGATCTGCCTGGGGCGCTCGGCCACGCTGCCCCCGGACACTTCGTACACGTAATACTGGGGAGAGAATCATAGAATCATAGAATGGTGAAGGTTGGAAGGGACCTCTAGGGATCATCTAGTCCAACCCCCTGCACACGCAGGGTCACCTAAAGCACGTGGCACAGGACTGCGTCCAAGTGGGTTTGAAGATCTCCAGAGAAGGAGACTCCACAACCTCTCTGGGCAGCCTGTTCCAGTGCTAAGGGAAACACGAAGGGAAAGAAGGGCAACACGGCTGGGAAAGCAGCAAGGAGGAACGGAGGCAGCTCCACGAGCGCCGCGAAAGCTCCTACCTGGCTCCGCTCGAAGGCCTGGAAGGGGCTGGTCCTCGAGGTGATGGTGTTTCTGCTCACGGCGATGTGGCAGTCGTAGCCTGGAGAGGGGCAGGTGTAGCTGCTGGTGTGATTCTCACACACTGCCTTCACCTTGCCCTGTGCCGGCACGTCCACAAAAAAACGGAATCAAAAAACCACAAACTCACACACCAAACTGTTGGCAGAGTGTATTTTAAAAGATCCCTGGATGCTCCTTCTCCCCCAAAGACAAAAGTTCTCAGCTGAGCTGATTTTACACCCTGCCCCATCACATTTCTGTTTATCAGTTATCCTTACAAACTGCCTGCATACAAACCATTCCCTGCAAAAACAAAGACTTGTATTTTACCTTAATTAGCTTAAAAATGACAATGTAGCCTGATTTTCCGTGATGCCAGGGTCTCGGACGAAGGCAGTCTGCGTACTTGGAAATGTAAACGCCTGTGAAGACCAAGCAATGCAAAAGCACATGAATGTCTGTCTAGCAGGGCTGATCACAAGCCTGTAGTGAGGAAATTCCTAACTTCTGGGTCTGCCTGGAAGCGAAGCAGGTCCTTTACTTTGTCTCATGGTGATCATTTGGGTAGAGAAGTGCTCCAAGGAGGGAGTAAACAGGGACTAGGCAGGGGGAAGGCTTTGGAAAAGAGCCAGCTGATTAGGCAGGCCATAATACTCCTCTCAGCCTAGTGGGATTGCAATACAGACTAAGATAAATAAGTAACTGCACTCTTGCTCCTGGAAAAGGATTTCTTTGAGTAGTGTGTCCTGCGCTGTGTGTTTGTGGCCTCAGCTCTTGGAGCAAGGGACAAGGAGCAAGCGGGGAGTGTAAAGGGCTTTGGCACGTCACGATCTGCTCTGGTGACATGCCAGGTGACAGGGCTGCTGGCAAAAGCTCAGCAAAGGCTCTCCGAGGAGCAAGCTGGGGGGAAGAAGTGCCAAAAAGCCGCCTTGGTGACAAAGGTGAGCGGAACCACGGAGCAGCTGAGGCTGGAAGGGACCTCTGGACATCATCTAGTCTAACTGCCCTGCACAAGCAGGGTCATCTAGAGCACGTTGCACAGGGTCATGTCATTATGAACATGTTATTAGCAAGGTTAATAATGACTTGTTATTAACAAGGGAGAAAAAGCTGCAATGGAGAGAAGAGGTGACACTTTCCCTTGGGAGGCCACCTAGCTCTGAAGGAGCAGGCAGGAGGAAAACACTGCTGCTCGATTCAAACAAGCACAGCTTCAAACATGAGGAATACAGGAGTATCTTTGTGTTTTGCAGTACCAGGAATGTGTCTGGACTTTGGTTGTTGTTGAAAGCAGCAGTAAAGAGGCCTCTTGGTTCCGTGAATGGTGATTTTACCTTTTGCTGGATCCCCGAGCGTGGAGATGGGACTGGTGTTTATGCGCAGGCCTGTCTGACACACCTCTTTTGCCTTCAAAACAAGAGACAGACTCTTTTACCATCTATTTTTAAGTAAAACGAACGCAGTTGCTGAAATCTGAAGCACAACTGGCAAAATCCTTTCAGCAAGGAAACGTTTAAGTGGTGCAAGTCAATCCCGTACTACAAACACAACTGAATTCAATGCCCTCTAAAGCCAACCAAGGGGAAACTTGTGGTTTCACGCACTAAATACTGAGATTTACTTATCAAGTGTTACTACAACAACCTCCACGGAAACAGAAGCATTTTCTACATTTGTGGGACAAGGAGAAAAATTCCTGCATCTCCAGAGACCGATGCAAGGGCAAGGCTGGACTTTGCACTTTCTTTATCTGCGTGGGGAATTTATGGAAAAATAAATGCAAAGGGCCTGGCCCTTTCTACTCCACACTCCCCCCTGCATGGACATAAGGACTCTGCCTTGACAGTGTCCCACCGGGTTTGATTTAATCCACTTCCAAAGTGGATTAATCCAGGCATGCAAAGACCTTCAGGATATTGGCCAAAGAGGGACAACGGGAGAAGTTAAATGAATTTATTGTGAGAAAGAAATAAACCTGAGCCAGCCAAACTGCACTCAGGCCTTTTATAAACAGCACGGGGCGTTCACCTCACCTGATTTTTTGACACTTTAATAAGTGTCAAGTCTAGATTAGCCCACAAGGCTTCTCTTCTGAATAGCAGAGGAAGAGAGGCACCTCCACAGAGGGTTTTAGCCCACAAATTTTGCATGTTTCTTGTTATACTTGGCCAAACTGCCCTTCTTTTTTGCTAGGACTGCACATGGAGCTGAGCCAACTGGCAGAGGGTGGTCAATTTCCAATAACTAAAATGAAGTGGATGATTCCCACTCCCAAAAGGACACTGAATGCGGTTCACCTTGGTGTAGCCGATTCAAAACGAGCAGAACTAAAACTGCATTCAGGCCACTCTCACCCCAAACAAAACCAGCCCCACTGTGATTTAACACTGTATCATTAATTCATGTTAAAAGTGGATTCCCTTTGGTCTCCGTGATTCTCTGATTGTCTCCGAGCAGACCAACTCTTCCCACAAAATCAAAGGCAGCTTCATGGAAAAATGGGCAGGAGTAGCTATTTCTCCATAGCTGTGCCACGTTCTGTCTCCATGTAAATAGCAAATCCAAGGGACCTTGGCTAAAACCACCCGAAAAACTCCTGCTTTCTGTTCTCAAAGGCTTTTTCCCCTTCAAAGTATTCCTGAAAGGCTTCATCTGCTTGTACTTGCCTGCAAACACAGTGGGGAAATAAAGGAAAGATCATTTTATCTTCTTGGAGAGGGCAAAGGAGATAGACAGACCTCAAATCATGGTGATTGATTGGAGAGGTCCAAAGTAAGATCATTGCAACCTCACAGGAGTCACTTTCTCCGCTTGCTCTGGACTATTTATGCAGTAGTAACTGCACTGAGAAAGACTCAGGGCACTTCTACCAACAGAACTGCTGGGCTCCGGTGGGAAGGAGCCCACGTGCACTTGGAATCAATCTTGTTGAGCTGAAAAAACACCTTACGTTACCTCGTCTTCGTTGTCAAAGAGCAGAAATGCAAAGGTTTCCTCCAGCTCCTCCTGGCTGTAGCCGGCGGCTTCCTTGGCCTGGGCAAAAGCTCTGAGCTGCAGGAGACACAAGGACACTTTGTCCTAGTCTGACCAAACCAGAGCCAAGTGACTTTGGGGATACGGGGTGCACACGGCAAGTGTGCTGCAAGCAGCACCCAGAAGTAATTAAATACTTGGGGTGTCTTACACTTAGCTGTATGGGTATTTAACATATCAAAACACAAAAAAGGGCAGTTTTTTATCCAGCTCTGCAGGGACTATCCCAGATTCAAGCAGCCAAGATTTCTAAACTCTGCTTGATTCAGGACAACAAGCAGAGTTGTTGAGAGGCCTTTGGTTCTTAGTGGAGACAGCCTGTCTTCTACAGCAAAGACAACAGGGCTGCAGGTGAGGAGGAGTTTTAGAAGTGGCTCCATAATACCCTGTCCAAAGGGAAATTTGGGGTCAAAACTGGTACCTGCACAGGGTGAGGGGAGGCAGAGAAACACCTTGCAGGAACCTGCCTTGCTGCAAATCAGGGGAGCTCAGGCTTGACATAAAATGCCATTAAAGCTCCCCTGATAGACATCAAAGCAGCATTTCAACCTGCTCCACCCCAGCAGTAAATGCCGCTGCATTTTGGCAATCTTGGCTGCATAAACGTTTGTTCCTCATTGGATCAGGAAGGAAGAAAAGCAGGAAGGCGAAGGAAAGGTTCTCCCCATTCAGGAAACACAGAGAGGAGGCAGATCAGGCAAGGGAAAGACACAAAGATCTGCCAAAAAAACCAGCATCGAGGGAGTCCAACAGCCCCACGCAGGGACCCAGCGCCTCTCCTGAGTGTCCAGCAAAGCCCCCATTTCCCACGGGTCTCACCTCGTTTAGAAAAACGTCGTTTTCCACCAGGATTGCTTGGCTGTACTGGAAACCGTCCCGCGACGTACGGTCCAAGTAGGAGCTCTGCAGCACCGCGACCGCCGTCCGCAAAAGGGAACTCGACTCTTCCGACTCCGGCTGCAAACCTGGAGGAAGGAGAGCAACGGGCAGGAGCAAATGTTAACTCTGGGCATCCCCACGCTGCGCTCGGGAAGCTTTAGGAGCCTTTTCCAGCCTTTCTAACAAGACCAAAAAGCTCTATGTGCCTCCTGGCTGGCGTTTTCCACCTCCTTCGGACAGCTTTGGAGCTCTTCCTGTGCAGAAGGAGAAAAGGGAACTCGTAACACTCAGTAAAAGCAAAATTCAGCAGGCCAGAGCTCTCCCTCCTTCCCCACGAGATGCTCCCCGACAAGGGGAGATGCCCAAGCTCTTTACAAACTACAAACAGGACCAGAAACCAAATAAACCTCTGCATTATCTGCGGTTTTACAGACGCGGAAATCCAAGTATTTTAAAAAGCAGCTGCTTTGAGACGCAGGAAATGCTGGGGTTGGTCTTTCTTGCAGGTTTTAAAACCTTTATTACTGGTGATGACTCAC